TGTTGACAGTGAGGCCCCACTGCCGGCAGTACTGCTGGAGCAGGTTTAGCTGCCGCTGCAGCCCGACCGCTGAGGTGGCCAGCAGGACCATGTCGTCGGCGTACAGCAGCGGCGGCACCGCGGCGCCGCCGCTGCCGAGGAAGCTGGGGAGGTCGAGCTGCTCGCCACGCCGCGCCGCCGCCATCAGCTCCTCCTCCAGGTCGTCGATGTAGAGGCCAAAGAGGGTGGGGCTGAGGGGGCAGCCCTGCTTCAGGCCTGTCACGGCCTGGAAGCAGGGCGACAGCCCGGCTGAGGTGCGCACCGACATGGGGACGTTGCTGTACAGCGCCTGCGCTGCCGCCAGCCAGGCTGTGTCCACACCGCGTGCCGCCAGCTTCTGCCAGAGCTGCTCCCTGGGCACGCGGTCGTATGCCTGCTTGAAGTCGACGAAGTGTATCTGGCTCGCCTGCACGATGAGCTGGCGGTGGCGGTGAAGGTCATGCTGCTGCCTGCGGGTCCCATGCTGAACGAGCAGCTGCAGCAGGAGGTGTCGCTGCTGCACCGCTGCCACCACCCTGGCATCCTGCAGGTGGGGGGCGGGTGCTGCGGCTCTTTGCATGTGACGTTTGTTGTATAGTTCATTTGGGATTTTGCTGCTTCTGTCACATTTGCCACAGCCATGACATGCGTTTTGGCTCGGCGCCTGCCTGCAGCTGGTTGGCGTGTGTTGGACGCATGGCCTGGTGTTTGTGGTGACAGAGCTCATGCACGGCGGTTCGCTGCTCAGCCAGCTGCCAAACCCGGCGCTGCGCTACCATGCCAGGTGTGCTAGCATTGTGTCTGTGGACTGCGGCATTGCTTGCACAACTGCCTGTCGACTGTCTGTTTTGAGCTGACAAGCTTGCACTCTCTGCCGTGCGCCTGCAGGGGCCGGGAGCTGCTGCTCCAAGTTGCCAGCACATTGCACCACCTGCATCGCCGCAAGATCGTGCACCTTGACCTGAAAGCGAGGTGGGTTCAGCCTCTGGCAAAGGTAAAGGTGGGGAAGAGCCTCCACAAGCTTCACTTCCCGGTTTTAACGTCTAGCTTTAGACCATTATTTGATCTGCCCGACGCGCCAAGTGCAGTACCCCCCACTAGTAGTGAATGGGTCCCGGGGAGGCCTGTGCCGAAGCCTTGGCGATTCTATTAGGCGTTCCCGAAGGAATTGGCTTGGATTGGCGCTGAGCCGGTCAGCTATGCCGCGTTTGTCCTCACAAAGTTTCGACATGGGAGGAATCGAACCTGTGCCCTCTCGGAGGGTTTAGACACTAGCTCCAGCGCCTTCAAAGAAGGCCTTTCTTAGCCGCGGCCTAATCTGGCTGCATGATTGACCCATCCCTGTTGTTTGCCAGTCCACAAGTGTGCCCGTTGTAATTGCCGATTCCTCACTGTGCCTCCCTATCTCCCATTGGTCTGCAGCAATGTGCTGCTGGATGGATCACTGGGCACTGCCAAGATTTGCGATCTCGGGAAGTCGGGCATCCTGCAGGCCAGCATCGTGACAGCTCATGGCACTCCCAACCGCTACTCTTCCCCTGAGCAGCTGGCAGGGGGCTGGTGCGGCCCAGCGTCCGACATTTACAGCCTGGGAATCGTGATGCTGGAGGTGCTGACGGGCCGTGCGGCGCGCGGCAGGGATGCGCGGGCCGAGCTGCAGCTCAGGTGTGCCGTGTTGTGCGCTGGACTGACGGTCTGTCCGATCTGCCTTGGCGCGGCATGTAAGAGGTGTTTGCTGTGTCTCACTGCCATCAGGTCTCACACCCCATGTGTATGTGCAGGGTTCCCGAGCACTGCCCCCTGGCTGTGGCTGAGCTGGCATATGCCTGCCTGGACCGGGATCCCACTGCACGGCCCGGCGCAAAGCATGTGGTAGCGGTGCTGCAGGACAACAGCGAAGGGGCAGTTGCTGGCATTGGGCTGAACAGCAGTAGTAGTTCTGCTGAGGATACATGGCTGCTTGCGACGCGTCCAGAATGAACTATACGGTA